CTTATAGTTAAGAGATTGCCTTAAGTCTCAGAACGGACTTAGGGCTTTTAAAATATGTGGTGTATGTGTGTTCATATGTGGGTGGGTGTACATGTGTGTGCATGTACATGTGTGTATGTATATGTGTGGAGGCTGGAGGACAATTTCAACTGTCATCTTCAGGAATACCACCCACCGTTTTTGAGGCAGGGACTCACTGCCTAGAGCTCACCAATCAGGCTACACTGGCTGGCCAGCCTGCCCAGGGGATCTTCTTGTTTCTACCTCCTCAGAGCCAGGATTGCAAGCACATGCCACTGGGCATGTGGGCTTTTTATGTGGGTGCTGGGGTTTGAACTCAGGTCCCTGTACTTTCTAAAGTGAGTGCTTCACCAACTGAGCCATTCCCCAGATACTCTCTTTTTCTTACATTTGTAATTGTAATCTATTTTTCAGGAAACCACAAGCCTTTCCATATTAGTTGGTGAAAACTCTCATTGGCCAGAGAAGGGGTCTGAAGGAAAACTAGGCTTTGCATATGGGAGCTCAGAATAGAAGAAAGAGAACGCATGCAGCCATTTGGGCTCATGAGCAGGGACACTGTACCTCATGCTCTGAAGATACTGATAACAAAGCTATTGACTTTTCATATCAGGGACAGAGGGCAGAAGAAAAGAGAAGATGGAGCCATGAGGAGAAGGATTTAATTGCTGGGTTAAAGAAAATCCAGCCAGCATGCTACAAGAACAAATGAAAGAGAAATTCTTCATGACTTAGTACTTTAAAAAAGCCTCAAGGAGCCTGGCGTGGTGGCACATGCCTTTAATCCCAGCACTTGGGAGGCAGAGGCGGCAGATCTCTGTGAGTTCAAGGTCCAGCCTGTTCGACATAGTGAGTTCCAGGACAGCTGAAGCTAAAGACTCCCCCCCCCCCAAAAAAAAAACCCTCAAGGAAAAGGAACAATAAGCTTAAAAAGATGCTTATATTAAACTCTAAATAACATACAGTAAGGCAAATGAGGAACAGCCCCAGAGAGGGCAGCTTCTAATTCCTATTATTTTTCTTTCCTTTTTGATATAAAGAGCTTTTTGAGAAGCAGCCAAGTACCAGATACATGGACTAGGCCAAAATTTATTTGTAAATGAAAAAAAAAAGTCAACATTTAAAATAAGTAGGTGAGCTTATTGTGGAACACAATGAAACCTTGTTTCCAGATATTTCCTTAAAACCACCTTAATCACAAAATCTTTTCTTGGTTGTTCCCTTTGATGTTCTTTGCTGATAAGAAGCTGAGAGGACCAGGTAAGTAGCTACCCTTCTCCCCTAGAGACATCTCTGTGAGTGCCTTCATTAAATAAAAAGTAGACAGGCAGACATAGTGGCATGAGCGTTCAGGAGGCTCAGGTCAGGCCAGTGAGTTAGAGGCTTCTAAAAAAAAGATAAAGATTTGCTCTGGGGGATGGACTGTGCATGGTCATCCTTTCCAGTTCATGCCTACTCAGTCTTTTTCTTCCATCAGTCCTTGTGGGCCAACAAGCATTAACAGTCAAGAACACAAAGTTGGGGGTGGGGTGGGGGCACAAACTAGATTTCCTGATTGTGGTCTCAGAAATCCCTTAATGTGAGCAGTGTCCTTCTCAACACTTGGTTGTAGTATGAATAAAAGAAGACAAAGAAATGCTTACCACAGTGACAAAAGCCTTTTGGCAGCCTTGCTATTTTCATTTCTTTTTAAGTTTTAGGTAAATAGAAAATAATTTACAAAGAAGGAAAATGTGGAAGACACTTTAAGCTTTCCAAAAATGAAGTACCTTCATGCTAAAAATCTAAGTGCATGATTGAAATACCCATATGCATATTACTGGAAATGTCATAACAAAACCTCTTGCTTTGTACAATTAATATACACTAATAACAAAAATCCCAAACAAAAGTCTAAATGTTAAGACTTTAGGAATGTTAAGGTGACAAACAGGTTTTCTTGGCCCTCATAAGACTCTGTCTCTACCAATTCAGATTCTGACTACCAATTTCTCAGCAGTGGAAGTGATCACATCTTGAGCAAATCATTACATTTGTCTGCTCTTGAGATGCTCAGTCTCTGGGCAGTTTTGTAAAGGTTTGTTACCAGTGAGCATATGTGGCTATGATGTGTTAACAGCAAGGACAGGACGTAAGAATGTTTATAGTGACCAAAGCTTTAATCAATGAGTAGAAGACAAACCTTACCCTAAGTGATGGTACCTTGGGCTTAGACAGGGGAAGCCAACAGCTTGCAGCATGACTTAGACTCTAAGTCAGGAAACATTACTGTGAGGCTAGGAAAGCATCCTCTCATCAGGGGTGAGGTGCATGGCCAATTCATGGAGATATCCAAGAGTGAATCCCAAGTGCTGAGGCTACTAAGGTTGCTTCAGTTTGGTCTGGATTCAAGGACAGAACACAAAAGTCCAGGCAACGTGAACATATCGAAGAGAGTTTGGAGAGAGGAATCAAGCCTGGGGAGGCAGAAGCAGGGAAAGCCAAATCCCTCTCTCAGAGTCAGAATGCCTGTGTGGAAAGGGTTAGGCCCTGGGCATTAAAGAGAACTGTGCAAAGGAAGAGAAAGTTTCATCGAAGTCTTATGCTTTCAACCAAGCTGGGATATTACCTAATCTGTCTGAATAAACACATACAACTAATATTCTGATAGACCTCATCTGCCAGCTGTCAGCTATTCAACTGGGAAGAATTCAATACAGTTCTTCTTGCTGTTCCCAGTTAGAAGTTATTTCTGTCAGGTGTGCTCACCAGGGCCTGAATGCCTGTGATCAGTGGATGGCTAGGCACCCACAAAGGGAGGCTCCAGTGCTGTATGCTGATTTATACACATTGTCCTAACTTACTTGCAATAATTATTAAGAATTTAATGAAGACATGGAAATTAGGTTTATCAAGTGCATCACTGGAAGAAGGCTGGGAAAGAGATGTATTGCTAGGAAGTAGGATGATAGGTTACAGATGTTATAGAAACCGGAAGCAGGGTGAAACAAGTACAGAGTGAAAGAGCTGACTCCACATGACTAACTCACAGGACTCAGGTCCCCAAGCTTACCCACTGAGACATCTCTGCAGTCTTAATTTTTTTTTTTGAGACAGGATCTCATGAGTAGCTAAGGCTGGCCTCAAACTCATTAAGTCGAGAATGACCTTAACTTTCTAATCCTCTTGTTTCCACTTCCTGAGTGCTGGGATTGCATATGTGCACTACCACATCCAGTTTATGTGGTTCTTGAATTGGAACCCAGGGCTTATGTGTGTAACGCAAGCATTCTTTGAAATGAGCTATATTCTGAGCCCTGGTGTTAGATTTGATGAAATATGTTATTCATGATGTTTCTAATTTAAATTGATATTTGCAGTTTAAGCTCATAATTCCTCTGCTTGCCAAATGAAAGTCAGATAACTTCCTATTACCAAAACTCAGATGAAATTAAAACCTACTTTTTAATTTGTTGAACAGGGTCTCCTAGCCCAGCCCACCTGGAACTCACTTTGTAGACCACGTTGGCCTTGATCTCACAGAGAGAACTTCATTTTTAACACATTTTTTCCAGAGAAAAAAATAAACATAAATTTAAACAAAGTGGAATCAGTATTGACTATAATTAGAAAACCTTGCATAGTTTACTTATAAAGTGCTATTACTTAAATATGAATAATGGTCTAGATTGTGAGTTCCAGGACAGTTGGGGCTACAGGGAGACCCTGCTTCAAAAAGACAATATAATATATATATATGTATATGAATAATGATTAGTGATAAGAAGCACATTAAGAGAGTGCTGAGGAACACTCATCAATGGCTCTCTAAGGAATCAAGTTTTACACAAGAGCAATATTCATTTTAGATTTCCTAAGAGAAGTCCTTTCTAAGGACAGTTTTTAAAGACAGCTAACAAAGAGCTCTAGAGAATGAGAGTGCAGTTAAAGCATTTGCTTTTTCTTATCCCCTGAGTTCCTCTTTCTCCTTTTAGAATAACAGCAGTTATTAGAATTAGACTCTGTTTGATGTGTATTGCTGAGGGCACCTCCTCTGGCATCCAGCACAACAGATTAGGGAGATAATTCTCCATGTTCGGCAGGAAGAGACCCAAGAGGCCACAGTTAAAATGCCACACTGAGATAGATGGAAAGCTTGCAGATGGTGTTTAGGGAAATCTGACCACAAAATGAGAACCCACCCCTAAAGTACATTTTTCTGTAAGTTCTTTCTGGATCTAAGTACCTAGCTCACTTTGAGTAAAAGCACAGACTGTCATTTTAAAACCCAAGGACCTATAGAAAACCTGAAGTGCTGACATCTAACAGACCACAGGGCTGAATATCACCAAATTGCCCAGTGTGGTTTGAATGAAAATGTCCCTCATAGGCTCCAAGTATTTGGATATTTTGTCCCCAGATGATGGTGCTTCTTTGGGAGGTTTTAGGTGTGGCTATCCTGGAGGAAGCACGTCACTGGGGGTGGGCTTAGAGAGTTCTTAAACCTTGCAGGATCTCTAGTTTTTCTCTTGCTTCCTGTGCCTGTGTGATGATGTGAGAGCTTAGCTTCTGCTGCTCCTGCTCCAGCCACCTCAAGCTACCATGCCTCCCTGCCATGATGGACTGTAATTCCGTTGGAACCATAAACTCAAAGAAACTTTTCCTTCTATAAATTGCCTGGGTCAGTGTTTCTATTACAGCAACAGAAAAGTGACTAATATATCCAGTAACTCTTGCTCATGGGAACTTAATGATATAACACACTTTTCTAGAGCTTTCTATCTAGATCTATTTGCTTTGATATCTAAGACTACTATCACACAAAGAAAAGCTAAAGCTCATGGTTGGAATGACATGACTGGAAATATCTGGTCTTGAATGGAAGAAACTCTGGCTAACACTATGAAAACCTCAGAAAAGTCGTTACACAGATTTATGGACATTATGAACATTTTTCACTGGGAAATTGATCTGTAAGTAACTTGAAAATTAAATGTCACCTCTACAGCTTCCCAGGCCCATGTCCTGTACTTGGGATCATGAGTCAGTCGCCACATGTACATATAGGTCTCGATGACCTCTGGCCGTAAGATGTAGTACTTTTCATTTTGCCTGGTGGCAATGGCTTCCACACCACCATCGAATCGGAAAGCTTCTGGTCCCAGTTTCATGACTAAAGCACAGGAAACAAATGAGCAGGAGTTACCATAGTGTCAACAACCTAAACAAAATTAGGACGTACTAAGAACATTGAAGACAGGTGTCAGAATGACTGGTTTAAGGGCTAGTCATTAGCATCATATAAAATACATAATACTCAATATACTCCTAAATTTTAGTCACCTAAAAGAGCCAATTTTAGAAAGTGGCAATGGTCATTTTATCTTCTTTCCCCCATTTAACTCCCATTCACCGAGCACCAACTAGGTGAGTATAAGGAGCCATAACATACCTTGTTAGGTAGTTGAAAGCTCAGTGACTGAGAATTCTGTCATTATATCAGAAAAGGCCAGTTATTTGTGCTTCAAATGTCTATTTTATAAACAGAAAGCTAGACACACAATTTCCTTTAAGGACTTTGGGAAAGATTAATAAATGGTTTATGAAAGTTTCTTTTTGTCCTGCAACAGAGACCCTTATTCAATGCTAATGAGCTAAATCAAAGGTAAATGAGAATGGCTTAACTCTTTACAGCCTACATTTTTATTACTTGACAAACTAGGGATACATATTTTTCTTTAAAAACAGTGACTTTTAAGTAAAAAATATAAATTTCTTTAGGGTATAGTCAGTATCATCAATTTCCACAGTTTATTTATTTATTATTTATCTTTTGACAGTGGCTATGGCAAAATTCTTTAGGGAATGAAATCACAGTATGGGGAATGAAGGGTAAATGAAGAATAACATGTACTCACAGGTGCGATTATAAGATTCATGACAGGTGCGGGCGATTTCAGCCCCAAGTTCAAGGTAGTGTTGGGCCAGGGCTTCAGGAGCTCCATCTGCCCCTAGTGCAAACATGCCTCCCGCAAAGCAGGTCAGGTGGCCCATCTTGTGTTCCAGGAGGCCCCCTTTCCACTCTGCGATATACGTTAGTCCACCGCTAGACTTGCGGATCAAGTGTGTCTCAATGGCCTGAAAATAAGATTTATTTTTAACACTCTGTAAATCTCTTTTCAAACTGATTTTAAACACTGTGGTATCATTGTACAGTTAATTACTTTTCCTTTCCTTTTTCTTTTTGAGATAGGGTTTTGTTATATATCCCAGGAGTGCCTTGATCTCACTATGCAGCAGCTTGCTTCAAACTCACAACAATCCTCCTGCCTTAACTTCTAGAGTGCTGGGATTACAGGAGTGTGTCAAAATGCCCAGTTGTATACTATAATTTTAATTAAAAAATATTTTATTTATTATTTTTATTTTATGCGTATGAGTGTATTGTCTGCATGTATGTGAATGCATCCGTGTCATGCAATGCTGTGGAGGCCAGAAGAGGGCTTCGGATTCTCCTGTAACTGGAGTTAAGAACGGTTCGTAGCCGCCATGTGGGTGCTGGGAATCGAACCCTGGTCCTCTGCAAGAGCAGTCGGTGCTCTTAACTGCTGAACCATCTCTACAGCCCCAATATACTATAATTAAAAAAAATTGTTATATGTAGCATTCCTTACAATCTGAGTTTGGTGTTACAAATCTAATTTGACCTGAAATGGCTGCCCTCTGCGTTCTTCCTCTCATCCATGCCTTCCTTATTCATTTGGTTAGAATAACAGGGTTGGCCTAGCCACGTTAGCTTTGTTTGGCCCATGACCAAACACTTGCAGCTCTCATTCCCTAAATGACCTTCCCTTCTCAAAGACAAGCCACTGGTGCTGTGTAAGAGTTGAGCCAGTGTATTTTGATGTTCACAAAGCTCACATCCCACTAAAGATGAAGGATAGGGCACGTTTGGGCCTAAGATCCAGGCCAGTAGCATTACTGTCCTCTCCATCCTAGGTTTGAGTGGGCTGTTCTGGAGTCAGATAAGGCTTCAGATGATCACTTTGACATTGTCCAGGCATGCCATAGGCAACTTATTCCGAATATCCCTAAGGCTCAGTATGCTCATTCATATGAAAAATGCTATCTACTGAGGACTCTGCAACATTTTGTTTATAAAGCAGTCAGTATTGCAACTAGCACCTGGTAAGTCATTTATTTATATCACCTATGTGGTAATGAGAAGTGGAATACAGGATCTGGGGAGACGGCTTAGTCAGTAAAGCATGAAGATCTGGTTTGATCCTTAGAGACTATGTGAAGAAAGCTAAGTGTGGTGGTGCTTGCTGAAATTCTGGAGTTGGGAGGAGACAGGCAGAGCCCTGGGGCTTGCTGACCAGCTAGTCTAGCTCTAGGCCAATGAGAGACTGTCCCACAAAACAAGGTAGATGGCTCCTGAGGAACAACACCTGAGCCTCTGGCCTCTGGCCTCTACTTGCACACATGTGCAAGTGCATGTGTCTACTCCTATGTACTTGCCCATACACATACACATACAAACACACAAAGAAATTAAATCAAGTTCTTTCCCGTTTATTCTACTGAGAAACATATTATTGTATAATTAGTGTCTTTAAAACAAATGAAGATGTTTAAGAGATATTTACAAAAAAGATTTATAAATATATTTTATTTAGGCCCAAGAATTGCTGATATTATAAACAACTAGATAAGAACTAAAATATTGCGTGTATTGCCTGCATGTAGGTAAGTGCATCCGTGTTGTGCAATGCCTGTGGAGGACAGAAGAGGCTGTTGGATCCCCTGGAACTGGAGTTACAGACAGTTGTTAACTGCCATGTGGGTGCTGGGATTCGAACCCGGGTCTTCTGCAAGAACAGTCAGTGTTCTTAACCACTGAGCCATTTCTCTAGCTCTAAACCTTGTATTTTAAAAAGCAAAAAGTATGAGGTATGTTTGGAATTACTAATTTCCAGTTTCCTTAACAGACAGTGCCCCACCCCATTATGTCGTCATAGAAGGAAAAGTGTGATGATGGGTCTGCAGCAGTCACTGCTGTCAGAAAAGGAAAGGTTTTTCAGGAAGCACATTTGGCAAGAGGAGATTGAGAAGAATGAATGAAAAGGAATATGCAGGCAGATAAAACCTTTCCTACCTTTATTAGAAGCAAACAAATGAAACTGAGAAAGAAATAAATGAACACACTACTGTGCTCATTAACTGTGGTTAAGCTAATTTTATTGATGGTTTAGTTATTACATTAATATTTCATTCTCATTTAATGCAACTGAATATCTTAGCTATTTACACTTCTCATAACATAAATTGCAATAAAGTCCCTTCAAGCAGATACTTGTTCATCACCCAAGAAATTATTCTTTCTACATGGCAAGAGTAATAGCTTTTGAGTACAGATTAGAGAAACATTATTACCCTGTTATGGATACTGAATAAAGTACTATATTATTTTTGGCATGATTCTGACCAACTTGCTACCTCCTAAAATAAACTATGATGAAGTTTTAAGACCAAAGCAATGGTTTTGTGTGGAAATGCTAAAATGTTTAAATATAAACTATTGTGTCAAACCTATGGGAACTGATTGGGAAGAAAGAATATAGTATTTTCTGTGGTTTAATCCTTCCATCTTTGAAATGTTGTTAGTTTGCTGAAGTCTCTGGGCTGCTAAATGTCTGATATATAATCTGCCCATGTACCAATCATGTACCACTGTGGATTCTTAGTGTGGTGTTCAGGTAGGGCCATAATAACCGGCCGAGAGCTCAAAGTATTGTATTGCTAAACCCAAATTGAGATGAAATGCTTTCCAAATCCACCTACAGCTAAAACAGAGTGACCCAGTGACTCGACTGTTCAGAACAATAATATAAGGCATCTTCCGCTTGATAGTGATATGTTTTTGTTTTATAGGGTGGGTTCTTGTCATGTTTCCCAGGCTAGCCTTGAACTCCTGGAGCCAAGTGAGCCTTTGGCCTCAGGTGTGCATTGCTGTTTCTGGCTCATAATCATTTTTAATAATAAGATTTTTATTTATTCTTTGAGAATTTCATACATGCATACAACATATTTTGATCCTCTTCACTACCCATGCCTCCCCTCAGCTCCTTCTGGATTACCTTCCCTGCCCGTTCTCCCTCCAGCTTCATGCCTTGTTTTTAAAAAATAACCCACTGAGTCTAATCGGTGCTGCCCATATGCACATGGTATGGGCTCATCTGCTGGAGCAGGGGCAGCCTACCAGAGTCCACACCCCTGAAAACTGACTCTCCCTCCCTAGCAGCCATTAAATGCAAACAGCTCTTCAGCGAAAGTGGGGCTGTGTGTCCCTTGCCGTCTAGGCTGGAATGCTGACTGGCTTGATCTTGTACAGGTTCTTGACAATCTTTTAAAGTACAACTTAGCTAAAAGAAACTTTGCTACCTATAGGACTCTGCCGCTTTCAAACTCATTTTTATTTGTTCTAACTTTGCTCTCCAAGTTGAAAATATACAATGGATTGAAAATGTTTTTACAATTAAGAGAAGCAGGGAAACACTTTGCTCATTTGTTCTTAATGGGTTTTCCTGTCAAGGGTTTGTCTAAACAGAATCTACTAAGCTGTGTGGGTATAGTTCTAGAAAGGGGGAGGGTTGGGGGATATTTCAAAGAGTATTTCAAAACAGCCTTTCTTGGAACACCAAGATCTTATAGGGCCACTTTAAAATTAAAATGGTTAAAATGTCTGCTGGGATGGGAATTAGAAGATGACACAATGTACACTGTACTGAGGTTTAAGATTAAAACCTGAAACCTCACTGGAAGGAGGGAAAATCAACCTCATAAGAATGGGGTTTTCTAATGTTACCAAATGAGGACGAGGCTACAGGGACCATATCCCAGCTTGTATTTGGTGTTCACCATGAGCCTTAATAAAAGCTGTGCCAATATAGGCCATGTTCTGATGCTTGTTTGTACCAGTGAAGGGCTGCATATGCTTTGCTTAACTGAATTCTCTATTGATGGAGGGAGGAAAAAACCCAAAACTCAATCCAGTAGACAGGTCAAAGCAAGCTACACTTAATATTTAAGCAAACAAATTACCCAAACCTCCTGTTACAGAAATAATTTTAGGATAATGGCTAAAATCAATGGTATTAAAAATTTTTAAATTTGGGTGTGGTTAAGTGCGTGCCTGTAATCCCAGCACTTAGGAGGCTAAGGACAGGAGAACCAAGAGTTCAAGGTCATCCTTGGTTATCTACCAAAGTTCCAGGTCAGCTCGTTATACCTGAGACCCAGTTTCCTATGAATTAATACTGTGTACAAACACATTTCTGAGCAGTCAATTAAAAGGTCAATTTTCTGTGAATTTAGCTACATTTTTATAACAACACTCAAGAAAATTTGATAATAATATTAATAACAAAAGCCGGGCATTGTGGTGCAAGCCTTTAATCCCAACAGTGGGCAGGCAGAGGCAAGAGGATCTCTGTGTGTTCAAGGTCAGCCTGGTCTACACAGCGAGTTCCAGGTCAGCTGGGGCTCTAGGGAGAGCCTGTCTCAAAAAAACCAATGTGTGTGTGTGTGTGTGTGTGTGTGTGTGTGTGTGTGTGTGTGTCTTCCTCATCAGATCCCTTTTTGCAGTGCTGGGGTTCAAGATCAGGGCCTTGGGCAGGCTGAGCCAGATTTCTACCACTGAGCTACATCCTCAGCCCCACTTCATATTCTTAATCACAAAGGCACCTGATTACACTAAAAAGCTTTACTCCTGAAAAATTGGGTATATATTAAAATATTTCATTCAAAATATTTTTCTTATATTTACTTTCTAATCTTATTTTAGTTTTTAGTTGAGGTGTAACTGGAGGCGATTCTTAGTTTAGTTTTATACTGGCCATCTCCTACAGTTAGATATCTCTGATTTACCTTTCCAGTTTATAGTTTGTAAATAAACACTTAAATGTCAGAGGGAGATTTGTATCACAAATGCACCCATACTAATAAAGTGAAAAGGGACAAGTGTTGATGCGAATTTTAACTTTAATTCTATACATAAACTTCTGGAAGTCAGCAACCTTATCTATAAAATGGGGTTAATAAAAAAAAAACCAAATTAAAAAAAAAAAACAAAAACCAAATGAAGCAAAACAAAAACAATAACCTAGCACATCACTTAAATGTATCTCCCTAACATGCTGCTTGACACATAGTAGGTAACTCAACACACACTTGTTCTCTTAGTGCTCCTGCATTGTAAAAGACCCTTGAAAACTATTGAGTAACTTTCTTAAATACTAGTTAGTTCTGATTTTTAGAAGTCTGTTCCCTTATAGTATTTCCCAGACATCTCTGGAGACATCGGGGCTGTCAATCATCTTTGGCAATTTTAACTTAGACAATTTGCAGAATATAAATTCAGGATTCTTCTCCCATAATTTTAAGTGTAGCTATAATGAAGAAACACGTGCATTGCTTAGTGAAGGGGTTATAATCTGAGCAATGTGCAATTGGGCAATTTTACTGTGTGAACATAATAGAAACATTGCTATAAGGTTAGTATACAATATCATCTTCAGAGAACACTGTCTATAAAATGATCAATTGTTGACCAGATTATTATGTGGTATATAACTATATTTTTTAGGCATGTGACTTTTTTTTTCTTTTTTTTTTTTTTTTAATTTGAGACAGTCTCACACTGTAGGTCAGGCTGGCCTGGAACTCATATAGCCCAGGCTGACTTCAAACTCATAGCAGTCCTCCTGTCCTCACCCCCCCAAGTGCTGAAGTGAAAGGTGGGAACCACCAGGTCTTGCTAGATATATGACTCTTAAATGAGGCTTGAACCATATAATAACTTTTCACTGCTCTGTTAAAACTAAAATCATCAAGTCTGATTGCTATTGTTATAATTATATTGCAGACACTGAGCTCTCCCTAACTGGAAATACTTTACAAGCCACTTGTAATCTATTTTTTCATTAAAGCCTGATTAATATGCAAGTTGTAAGTTAGAGCTGACTGCTAAAGATGGTTTAAACATTGGGTTACCTGAACAGCATCAAAATACATCTTCTTAGCTTCTAGATCTGTCTTGTCAGACATTAACCATGCCTTGAGCAAATACTCATAAAAGCTGTCTCCAAGTCCTCCAACTGACACATGATCTGAAAAGAGAGGGAAATGAATTTCAGAGTGACTCAGTTTTTAATTCAGATAATGCAGCAAAATCACATTACCACTAGGATGCAAAAGCCCACTTCAGCTGCAGCTCAGTGTAACATTTGAATTCCAAGTCTCTTATCTTCTGAAATGAACAGATGGGCTGGAAACTCATGTGCTATGCCCTTAATAATCACCAGGGTCATTTTGTAAACACGATGAGAAATTATACGGAGACACTTCTAATTCTAAAAATCTGATTCTAGTAAAAACTGCCAAATTAAAATGTTTCATATTATATATTTAAATATTTTAATTTCATTTTTATCCGAATAATAGAAAACTCTGTCAAAGCTATGGACATTAGCAAATTAAAGAAATGACTTGCAATAAACAAGAAGCTTCCTCAGGGTTTTGCCAATGTCATGACTATTTGGTAATTTTTCTGGCATTATAGATCTGAAGGGGAGAAAATGGATGGGGCAGGTACAGTAAGAAGGAAGACTGTGCAGAAGTTTTTTCTTCTAATGCTTCATTCTCACGACTCCATTGCCATTTACTATGGCACACCAACTGCAATGATTACTCCAACCTTGCGCCTGCAGGTGGGCATCCTTATCTTTAAAGCATATTTGCTTACAAAACCACAAACACAATCTATTTGAAATACCATTCCTAGGAGTCAGAGAACTTGAACATTAACAAAATGGACTTTTAAGTTTAAGAAAGCTAGCTAAGCTTGAGCCTGGGAGTGAGTTAGCAAGCACTCAAAACTAAATTAACCTATTAAAATGAAACATTTATTTGTTGACTTGGTTATAAGAGTTAGGGTATCTATAGCTCTAAAGAAATGTTCTGATGTCCAGTCAATAACTCCACTTGGATGCCTATATGGCTATCTAAAATTGAATATGCTAGAAACTGAATTCATTATTTTTATCTCTTCAACCTCAGTTTTTTCTCAAGTCTCCATCTTTGCATTTATACAAACTGGAATTCAGGGAGTCATAAAGCTGGGGATGTAGCTCAGTGCAGAGCACTTACCTTGACTACTTTAACTGCCTGGATTCAATTCTCTAGCAAAACCAACAAAACAAAGAAATCAAGTGGTCATTTTAAAATTCTCTGCTCTGATTCCTCCATCCCATATGCATAAGTTTAATACAGTTTAAATATTGATGACCTTGAACAGGCATCCTGGGAACAGTGCGCATGGGTTCTGCCTTTTGTGCTGTTTCTACTTTAACCCATTACCTGATATACTGAAGGTGATGATTCTAATCAAATTTCTGCCACTCTAGCAACATTCCTGGATTATTAACTAAATAAATAAAGTTGAATTAAAGTGAAGGAGAAAAAAATGGCAATCTCTACAGACAAGGACAATTTGGTCCTCTGGCAAACTGAATTAATGCAGAGGAGACCATTTTAATCATGAGGGTTGAATCTGATGTTAGAGAGTCTACTATACTACTACGACGACGACGACGACGGCTACTACTGTTACCACTCTCAAATCCTCTGAGTCCTCTCTGTTCTCACCAATGCAGTCCTGGCTCAACCATCACTACACCTGTCCTGATTAGCTTTGTCAACTTCACATTGCCTAGAGTGACTTGAGAAGAAAGTGAAGCATCACCTGTAGGCACATCTATGGGGAATTTCCTTGACTGCAGGAGGGCACCCATTGTGGACAGCGCCATTCCCTGGGCTGGTGGGCCTGCACTATATAAGAAAGCTAGCTAACTGAGCCTGGGAATGAGTTAACAAGCAACATTTCTTCATGGTTTCTGCTTCGAGTTCCTGCCCTGACTTCCTTCAGTGATGGACTGTCATCTGGAAGTACAAGCCAAATAAACCCTTTCCTCCCCTAAGTTACTTTTGGTCAGAGCAACAGAAAGGAAACTCCAACAACTACTGCCTGTGTCTCTGCAGTGGCTAATTATCTTATTTCTGGCTTTCACTCTCATAAGAGTGTGCTATTTCTACTTAAATTTATTAAAATTGAATAGCAAGTTCAGTTCTTCAGTTATCACAATGATCAGTAGCTCCATGCAGCCCTTGTCTACTGTGCTGGACATGAAGGGACACCACTTCCATCCCTGCTGTAAGCTCTATCGACAGGGCCACCCAACCCACATACACACTCCTCCAGGCCAGCCTCCTCACACATGAGTCTGCTTGCCACTTGCTCAAGGCCAATTTATCCTTGGCTCTGGGAACCAGAGAGGTTTTTCATGATCTCAGTCTCCTCTATGCCATTGTCACTTGTTCTCTGCACACTTGTTGCACAGGCTTTCTTTCGGTTCCTCAGTTTCCATGCTCCTTGGGGCTTCTGCAGGCCTTGTTTTCTCTGGCTGAAATGGACATTTCCAGAATCACACAGCACTTCCTTGAGATCTTCCCCAACATCCCCTACAAGGTCCTCTAACGCCATCCTAAGCTTCTGGACAGCACACATATACCACACTTGCCCTTTCATAATGTGGGCAAATTACCTTGCCTTTTCCAGCAGATCATGATCCAAGAGAGCAGAGACCAGGCCACTTATGTTTTCCAGTCCACACTGGACCCTGGAAAGCATCTTTCATTCAACAACCAACTGATGACTCAATCAAAATTCTTCTAAGTCAATGCTAATAAACACTGTACCTATTCATGTCAATAGGGTCCTAACTTTAAGTATTTAAATATGTACTTTTCTTACTGAACAAAATCCAGAATTACATGATTTAAATTTTAGGTGAAAATATGTTTTTAAAGTTGTCAGTCTAATTCTTAAAATACCAGCATATGACCTTTACAGTTTCCTAAATAAATTACCACAGAAACCCCTGACATTTGCAAACTAAACAGACTAAGTAGGATCTCATCAATAATAAGCTCTGTTGTTCTAAGCATGATCGTGAGAGACAAACACAAGTGATGCATGGTAAAGCAAACCGCTGTCCAGTTACTGTCAAAATAACAAGGACTAAATGAAGTAATAGGGAGCGATGGCCACAATCCAGATGTGTCCTTCAGAGTCAAAGCAATGAGAGCAGAAAACTAATAGCCAGGAGCAGCTTGGCATTTTCTACCTTGGGCTATGATTCTGTAATAATGTAGGAAGCAAGCTGGACATTTGGAGTTCATTTAAAGGGAAAAAGGGTTATAATAATATATTTGTTTTAGTTTATTTTGATGTTTAACTTTTCCATTTTCTAGCTATCAAAATTTTACCAATGGCAAAAAAATTATAAAGGAACACAGAGGTGCAACATATGTTTTTCATAATTTGGCATTAAGCTTTCCTCAGGAAGGGATGTGTTGGTATAAGACTTCTGTGTAAATTCTTGGAGAACTTAGGAGATGGAAGTCTGTTTTTTCATAAGAACAGGAACATCAACTCTAGAAAGAACCTACATGGGATTTTTATCTCCAACAGCTGTAATTGTAATGCTCACTGTAGTCATTTAAATCCTATGTTCTCTAAAAGGGTAAATTATGATTTTCTTCTTGTTAGGAATAGGTTCCACAAAATGATTCCTGATATCTCAAAAAGAAAAATCAAAAACAAACAGCAAAAGAATCATAATATAGGGGGATCACAATAATCAACATTTTTTTCCTTAAGTTTTTGCAGACTTCATTTGAACCTGAATTTCTCTGTTCAAAGCAATCCTTCAATGATATTAATGACCTCATAAACAACCTCCCCCCAATACCCACACCCACATGTGCACATATTAGACAAATCAGAATGAGATAACTGTTCTATGTGTGGACATAGAGCTTCACATCGAGCATCAATGACCACAAAATCTGTTCATCTTGCCAGGGGAGAGGATACCGCCCCTTTAGCCACAACTAAGAAGCAGAGCCAACTTTTATAGGAGAATAAGTACAAATATTGCTGAAAGAATGAAAGATCAGATACAAAGTACATGAGTACTCAAAATATTCAGTAAACAAACATTGAGTAGGTTCAAAGTACTGTGTACTGGGTTAACAAACACACATATGACATGGTCACCAACCTCTAAATCTTTGCATACCTAGGAAGATGGGTGTATGTGAGTCACCGGGACAAGACTATGAGCAGAAAGTACCCAAAGGACTAGGCTGGAGAGTTAGAAGTAGAGGAGTGATGGATGCTAACATTCGCACCAGGGCCCTGAAGGAGGAGGCTTATAGAGGAAATGGCAGTTGAGCTGGGTCTTAGCAGCAGTAGGAAACAAAGGAGCTAAGGAAACAGTATAAGCAAAATCCTAGAGACGGCCATGAAGCCCTGATTAAACAATAAAAATAGAAGGGTGCCTTCACAGCTGGAACACAGAATGGAAGATCGGGGAGAAACAGACACCAGATTCATCAATCCTGTTTGTTTTTCCATCAGAAAATTGGCCCATAAACAACCCAAATATAAAAGGCTCTTTGTACCAGGAAATGTGGCCAGATATATAGTATATGGGTGACCTAAAAGGTGAAGCCAGGATTTCCTGTTATAACTGGCTCTTTCTGTCCCTCAGGTGGATCTTTTTGAGTTTGAGGCCAGCCTGGTCTACACAGTGAGTTCCAGGACAGCTAAGGTTACAGGGAGACCCTGTCTCAAAAAAGACAAAACAAAAACAAAAACAAAAACAAAACAAACAAAAAACAAACAAAAAAACAAAACCCTGAAGAATGTGTTTATGTGAGTAGTATCTACCAATATTCACCATACTGGACTACTAAAACAGAATTTAATAATGTTCTTGCTGATTCATTAAGAATATTAGTTATATCCATAAACAGATATTTTTCATAAAAATGTTATCAAATTAGTGGAAAAACTGATATTATTTTACTTTTTTGCCAATCTCCTTAATGTTTGCTTTCCTTACTGGATGCTCCAACTTTGATCCATTATTACACATTGCTTTGCTTAAAATATACAAAGAAAAGCCAGCCTTATGTAGTTTTACTATTGGAAAAAGGAAGAGGGTCTTAATTATCTTATCATGAGACTGGAAATACAGCTCAGTTCCTAAATTTGCTTTCTATTGTTGTGATGAAATACTCTGACCAAAAAGAAACTGTGGAAAGGTTTATTGTAACTAAATGACAGTCCATCATTGAGGAAAGTCAGGGCAGGAATTCAATGCAGGAACCTAGAGGTAACAACTGAAGCAGAGACCACGGAGGAAGGCTACTCCCTGGCTAGCTTCTGCAGTGGGCAGGGCCCTCTAACATCAATTACCAATTCAGAAAATGCCTCACGGATATGCCAGTCTAATGGAGGATATTCCTCAACTGCGGTTCCCTCTTCCCAGGGACTCTAATTTGTGTCAGGTTGACAAATACTGACTAGCACAATTCGGTTGGTAAAGTGCTAGTCACACAAGCATGACCTGAGTTTGATCCCCCAGAACCCACATTTTAAAAAGCTGGACATAGTATCACATGTTTACAATACCAGCAGTGGGGAAGTGGAGGCAGGCAGGTTTGTGGGGCTCTTTGGTCAGCCAGCCTAGTCCATTCAGTGAGTCCCAAAGACAGTGAGAGATCCTAAAGACCCTTTCTCATAAAACAAGGTGGTTCTTGAGGAACTATTCTTCAGGTTGACCTCTGGTTTTCTTTGTCTCTCTGTCTCTCTCACACACACAGTCTTTTCAGATACTTATCTGAATATTTTTCTTTGCTATTAAAACTCAGTAAGTGGTATTTAAATGGTTAAAGTTTTTTTTTTGATGGCTAGCTGCAAATGTAAGATTAGAAATTATATCAATAGAGCTGGAGAGATGGCTCAGTGGTTAAGAGCACCAACTGCTCTTGCAGAGGACCCAGGTTCGAATCCCAACACCCACATGGTGGCAAACAACACCTTAAAATATTTAAAATAAAAAAGAAAACTTTTGTACTTTTGTTACACTAAAATCTACTGACTATCTTGCACTCTGAGTGTGTCATTCTGTCATGCATGTGCATGGTTTTATAATAGTATGTACAAGTAATTTGGAAAATGTAGGTTTTTCTAACTTATGTAGATAAGCATATCTAACTTATGTAGATATGCTCTGTTGACACATTTCACTATACAGTATAATAAAACAAAACAAAACAAAAATCCCACCTTTGTTAATGTAACCACCAATATTATCAGAAAACAGAGTCAAGCTTAAGGTGGCATATACAAGTTTTCTAAAATTCTAATTTTTATTTAGAAATTTTCTAGAAATTTATTTTTATTTTATGTGTATGAATGTTTGCCTGAGTGTATAAGTGCACCACATGAGTTCACTGTCCACAGAGGCCAGAAGAGGGCATCAGATCCCCTGGAACTGGAGTTACAGATGATTATTAGCCACCATATGGGTGCTGGGGGCTGAACCAGGATCATCTGAAAGAGCAGCCAGTACTCTTAACCACTGAACCATGTCTCCAGCCCCTAGAAACTCAAAATTTAATACCACTGGTGCAAACACTATTTCGTTTTTGAGAACATGTCTACTAACTATCCAAGCAAAAAGCTGGTTGGTTTTAGTTGCACTTTCAAGTAAAGATGGTGACTCATGAAACAGTATCAGTAACAATAAGCAACAATAGTCTTGAAACCCCAACATGAAATCTTTTCCTCTATACAACTGTGATTTTTTTTCATTATGCTTCAGAATTGCTTTCCAGGTACTTTCATTTCATTAGAGAACATTACTGTGATGGTTAATATTGATCGTCAACTTGACAAGATGTACAATCATCTAGGAAATAAACCTCTAGGGAGTGTCTAGGTTGGGTTAATTGAAGTGGGAAGGTCCACCCTAAATGTGAGCAGCACCATCCCTGGGCTGGGACTCAGGACTGACTAAAAAGGACAAAGCAAGCTGAGTACCAACATTCACCTCTCTCTGCTTCTGGACTACAGATGCAATGTGACCAGCCACCACAGGCTCCTGCCACAGTGATGAACTGTTCCCCAGAACTGTGAGCCACCACAAACCTTTCCTTCCTTAAGTTGCTTTTACTAGGCATTTTGTCTCAGTACCAAGAAAGGCAACCAATACATTGACATACACTGAAGTGTTGGCGTTTACTAGAATCAATAATTATTCTTCTGTTTCCTCAAGTTATTCATAATTGAAACTGCCATTTCTTTAAACTGAGGTCAAAGACCCAGGGAGTATTAGCAGTTGTTGGTGTCTGCCTTGATTCTCATGAGGCTTCTACGTTTTACCCACCATTGCTCATGCAATGTATCACACAGGAGAAAGGCAGGAGGAAGTCTCAGTATTCATAAATGTTTGACCTTGTGGGCACCCAAAAGGTCTCAAGGACTTCCAGCAGGATCTGGAAGACCACTCTGAGTGGGAGCTCTCCTTATGGACCTAAAGTTTAAAGTTTCAATAGTTAGGGTCTTCCTAGCTATTACCAGAATGAGACATGGAGTTTTGCATTTTTTTTTCTACTAACCTACTCTTTAAGGGAAGTACTTCTAAAATAGCAGTGAGACATAATTATCTATGAATATGCTATTTAGTATAAAGAAAAAGCCAAAATTAGAGTAAAAATTTAAGGCAGTGTGAACACCTTCACCACAGCTAAGCATCTCACTTAATATTCTCTACTTGATTTCAATTGCTTCTTAACCTATCACAGTTTTTCCAAATTAGCTGAGAATATTTCTTTTATTGACTCCCAGGCCTTATGCCTCTGCTTAAAACTGTCTGAAGTGAGGACTTCTGGCAGTAGCAGTTCTCATTAGAAACTTATTCCTATGCTAAATGTAACATACTCACAAGAAATCTTTATCTGGTGCTTAAAATTAAGAAGAGAAAGTGTTCTGTCTGTGCTTCCAATTTCCAAACTCAATGCAGAAAGAGAAAATGCTAGAAGTGGAACGATCCAGTTATTACTCTGAGCAAAACTCTCAAAGCCATCATCACACAGGAACATGCTTTCCTTCTACCCACATGAACAGCTCGTTGAAGTCCCACACTACACTGGCCAGATCTCCCTTTCAATAGCTTCAAATGTGCTATGTCATCAGACTTACAGCTATCTGTAGAAAACAAGCTGTCCAGTTTCCTGGTAACACTGTCTTATCACAGAGGGCTGTTAAGGAAGCACTCCCTTTTCTCAACATTCCTCAGTAAGCACTGCACTCCTCTCAGCAACTAGCACAGTGCTGGGTACCACGAAGAGAGAAAGGAATGCTGAACTTTGGACTTACGTTGACCCCACTGTCCACTACTGGGATTCAGATAGTTAGGATAAAGGCCTTCTGGTTTTTTCAGTTTGTTCAGTACTGTTCGAATATTCATTACCTACAAAAGAAAAGAAAATGTTGTGAAAAATCCAAGAAAAAGTTTACACAACATTCTTTTTCTTGATTGTATTTGCTAATTCAGAAAAAGTTGATAAAATGTTATAGAATTATGAGCGTTGTGACCATCTTATTATTATGACAAAAATAATAGCAGTAGGTACCTATAGCCATACAGCTAGACCTGCAAACCCCAATCTAGATATTAAGGCTGTATCACTGGATAAAACAATCACTATTCTTTTCGTAGTTTGTATTGTAATGGAATAATATCGAGACTAAACAAATATAAAAGTCTTTCAAGACAAGATAAATACTGTGGGGAGAGAGAGAGACAGATGAGAGATGATAGAGAAATATTTGGTAGGTGAAAGGGTAGGTAGGTGACCGAGAGGATAAAGTTTTCATGACAGAATATCATGT